ATCATTTCATTTTATAACTGCCAGACCTTTTCCCAAAGCTATTTGGCAATTGTGCTATTCTGTACTCCCAGCAAGAATGTAAGAGTCGAGTTCCTCCACATACCTGCCAGCTTTCTGGTGGGTGTGTAGTGGTAGAGTGTTGTGGTTTTAATTTGCATTTCTCTGACAATTAATATTAAACACTGGTTCATGTTTTTATTGGCCTTTCATGTATCTTTTTCAAAGTATCCAAGTCATTTACTCATTTTTGTTGTTTGCCTTTTTTTTTTTTTTTGAGTTGTACAAATTCTTCATGTACCCTAGATACCAGTCCTTTGTCAGATACATGTTTTGTAAATGTATTTCCTCCTGTGGCTTACCTGTTTTTCTGGTGCCTTTTATGAGTAGAAGTTTTTAATTCTGGTGAAGCCTAATTGATCCACTTTCTTCTTTTGTGATTTTTGCTGTGTCCTGAGAAACCTTTGCTACCTGGAAGTCATGAAGATACTCTTACGTTTAGTTTTTAAAGCGTTACGATTTTAGCTTTTACATTTAGGCCCATGATCCATCTTGAACTGACTTGTGTTTTACTGAAATGAAAGATACAAAACAGAAAACTCTCATAGCAATTCTGTTGTGATTTGAGAGTTTTTAAATATAACTTGGCAGTCAAAGTTTGGTTTAAAATAAACTGTGGTTAGGTGACTCACTGGACTGAAGCGGGCTGACTGATGATGACAGTGGCTTCTGACAAGGGGAGAGCAGAACCAGCCATTACTCCCTATGGCTAGAGTCAGCCGTGGCTTTCCAGGAGAAATACAGTTCAATTATTGGTAATTGAGAGTTTGAAAAAAAAAATAGCCACTTAACTGTTTTAAAGATGTAGGTTAGTTCTTAAATTTTGAGTTTAATAATGAATCTGGATATAGTTATTTTACATTTGTCATTAAAAGCTCTTCAAAATGGTGTAATTGGTGAGGTCACTGGAGGGCAGTAACTGAGAGGGATCCTCTGTGATGCGCAGATCAATAGCTTCCAATTGGTTTGCAGGAAGTTCTGCTTTGATTCCTCGATAATTGCTTTATGAGACAAGCCAGTGTTTAGAGGAAAGTTCTCTGATTACAACTCTTAAAAGATAAATGATCTAACTTCATTCCTTAGCACTGTAAGAAGGAATTAATTTTTAAAAGAGAGAAAATTTGAAGTACTTTGAAAGAAAAATACAGTAAGAATATGTGATTCATTTTTAAAATTAAAATTTGGCATATCCTCACATTCATTCCATTAAAAAAAAAATCGTCCATAATGCTCAGTAAATGTTAATTCATTTGTGCCCATGATGCCAGGACATGAGTTAGCCGTAATCTTATGCCTGGGGCCCCAAAATGTGATCTATGTATTAAAAATGTCAGTTTTCTCAGTAGCTGGGTGAAACTTAGAGTCATGAATTAGAAGGTATAACCCGAAGAATGTTTAAAAGGTGCAGTTCGAGCTTAATTTGTGCTCATAGGACATATTCATGGACATTTGCTTAAGACAAAGAAAACAGTTTTTTCCAAAGGCTTTCTTTCTGTTTGTGATTCTAGGATGTAGCCTATATTGAATTGAATACGTCATCTACTTTTGATCTTTAGTGCAAGAGCATTCACTGCAGGCACAACTTCTTTGACCTCTTCTGCTTGTTTTGATATGATTGGTAACCTTTCGCCTACTTTACAAAAAAAAAAAAAAAAAGAGGGGGCAAAACCCAGGAGCCCAGATAGTTACAATCCAGATGGTTTGAGAGGAAAATACTAAGAGAAAATACTTGATTCAAAACCACCCATAAATATTGAGCCATCATTGAAGTTCTTGTTAGAAACGTATCTCTGAGCTCTGCTATCCTCTGTCTTGGAAAGAGCCTGTTAGAGTGCTGACCTTTGCTACTAGTACTCCGTCGTACTGTTCTCCTGGAGAACATAAACTTGTCACCCAAAAGCTAGATTGTGGCTGGAGTTATTTTGATGGGATATGTCTCTTCATTCTAAAAGGCTATATGTCCATCTAAAAAGGAACTCTCAGACATGTTTACCCTATAACCCCAGCTTAGGGCTGGGCACAGAGGCAATGCAAGACAAATATTTATTGACTGGAAATGAAAAGGTTGCTTTATAGCCATGAAACTGCAAAATGCAGGAAGGGCCTATCAGAAAGCTGACATTGACAGTAAGGAGAAGGATCTTTCATGCTTATCAGGCATCCTCTGCAGTCCAGGCTAGAATGTGGAGTATGTCCAAAAGGTCAGTCATCCCCCTTGCTAGACCTTTTCTTAAATTCTGGCCCATATGCTGAGAAGGATCAGTGGTGCTCTCAGGCTGCCTGCCACCTGTTTACATTCTGTTACTGCTTCTTTGCCTTTGATTTTGGCCACTGTCTCTCCAGAAGTGTAGGCATGGACAGGTTGCAAAAAGACGGGGAATTGATTCAAAACTCTTCTTACTATTTAGTAAAGCAGGAGCTAGTCTCTAACTTTAGACTTGAAAAATAAGTTAAAAGTCACTTTTGCCTGTAATCCCAGCACTTTGGGAGGCCGAGGTAGGAAGATCACAAGGTCAGGAGATTGAAACCATCCTGGCTAACACGGTGAAACCCTGTCTCTACTAAAAATACAAAAATTAGACGGGCATGGTGGTGGGTACCTGTAGTCCCAGCTACTCAGGAGGCTGAGGCAGGAGAATCGCTTGAACCCGGGAAGTGGAGGTTGCAGTGAGCCGAGATCATGCCACTGCACTCCAGCCTGGGTGACAGAGCAAGACACCATCTCAAAAAAAAAAGACGCCACTTTTACATAAGCAGTAATTAAACTAAGAAGACTTAGTTTGTGGCAATATTCTTCAAATCTTTCAGAGCATAATTTCTTCTTTAACATAAGCATAGATACAGATTTTAGTTTCCTAACAGCACGCCTCCACCACAGTTGAATACAGAGATGGGTACATTCACCAAGATGACGTTTATCAAATGGTCATCTAAGAAACCTTTTGAGGCCTGCAACAGTGTGGTAAACCATGGCTTGCTGAGAATGCTAGATCTCAGTCCTCAGAGAGCTATTTTACAGCAAGTTATTTTTGTGGTGATTCCTTTGCCCCAATGGGGGCTCCCTTCTCAGTTTAGCAGTATGTCAGAAATACTTTAAAGATTAGCAGATGTTTGGGTTAATAAAAAGCATGTTTATCTTCTTTCAGGCTATTACACATTCTTACTATGATTTCTTTACAGGGACTTTGAAAAAAGAAAAAAACTGTAGTATTTGGTCATCATTTTAAATATTTCTTTATCATTACAGAATGCACAAAACATTGAATTTAAACACTTCTTAGTGAAAATAAGATTAATGGCTCTTGTCAGCCAGACATTTTAGACTCTAAGTGTAGCACTTCCTTAGATTTGTAGCCTCACTGTCTCCTCTTAGCTGATTCTTACTCGTTCATGTTCCTCTACCTGGAATGTCAGACACAGATATATTATAAACAGAAGCAGCGTTAGGGACATCGCACCTGGCCAAAGTTATAATTCATTTGTTACTGGGAGGAATATTGTGGCAATGTTAACCTTGTTTGAGAGGTTATGACAAGTCATCAAAGGAAGGTTAAAACTTCACATTGGCCAGGGACACATGTTATAACTGAGGCCAATCTGTCTACAGCAGTTTAGATGCTCTTCAGAGTTTTGGGCAGTGTGACGAGTATCTGAATTTTACAGGAGTTTTTAAGTGTGGCATACCTTTTAGTAAATGTATAGTATTGTATACAACTAGGAGAGGCTCAAGCAGGATGAAACTAAGGCTGGAAAGTAAACTAATCACACATAATATGCAGTTTTATGTACATTTTTGGAGCGCTCTGATGTTCGAGGCACTTAAGAAGTCATATATAATATACATGTTATGTCAAATACTGTAGTAGAGGAATAGAGGATTTGCATGTGATACAGACCAATGGGTATCCAAGCAAGGGGACAGAAAGAATGGCCATCAGGACAGAGGGAGCAGCAAGACCAGAGACACCATGGCATGAACATGCTTCCTGGATTTTCCAGAGAGGAACTGTTCCCTCTCCTGGGGCATAGCAGCTGCAGGGAATGACAGGAGACGTGGCTGGAAAGCTGGGGCCAGATGGCGGAGACTCCTCAGCTCCACGTTAATGACGTGCTCCCTTGGCAAGCCGTACAGATCCCTTGAAGGATTTTGAGCAGAGAAATGACAAGTTTACACTAGAAACAAGCAGCATGGAAGGTAGGCTGCCTGCATGGAGTCTGGAGGAGGAGAGCAGCTCAGAGAATAGCGTAAATTCTTCCTGCAAGTAGTATTGAGGAGGTACAAACAGGAGCATAGAACTGGATTTAAATAGTTTTCAGAGACAAGAAAGTCAAGTGAAATTGGACAGAGTCCAAAGTCAGTCTGTGGTCTCCATTGGGAGAAAAGGGCTTTGGAAAGAATATATGGAGTTTGGTTTTGAATGAGCCAAAATTGAGGTAGTGAAGAATATCCAGGTGGTGAAGCCTATAGGAGATTGGACATTTTTCCTGTGATTCTTAGGAGAGAAGCTGGCACTGAGACTAGAGATAGGGGTATCATTTGAATAAAGGTGAGAATTTTGTCTTTATGTATAGGGTTCCTTAAGATTCTATGAGAATCTATGTCAAGATACATTTTTTCTGATTAAAATAATTTATTTTAAAACACTATAATGCAGAAATGTGTATGTGTAATTATTTTGTTTTGTAGCCTTAATGTTACCAAACTTGTATTAAATAAGTTTATCTTGTTTTTGAGTCACAACTTTTATTCCAAAGAAACTCAGTTCTTACTTTGATTTTGTCTTAATACTGATGGTTTTTTTTTTAAAGTTCTTTAATGTTAAGCATTTTCAGTGTGACTTTTTAAATTGCTCTCCTTAAAAGTGACTGTGGAATTGCTAAGTAGGCTGAGATTGATGTCAGGTTATCCCCAAGCGTAACCTCACTCTCACCTTGCTCTGCAGGCATATCTTTTTCTTGCACATCAAGGAGGCCCTCTTGGCAGGCCACCTTTTGTGTTCCCCAGAGCAGGCAGTGGAACTCAGTGCCCTCCTGGCCCAGACCAAGTTTGGAGACTACAACCAGAACACTGCCAAGTATAACTATGAGGAGCTGTGTGCCAAGGAGCTCTCCTCTGCCACCTTGAACAGGTGAGGCTGCCATCAGGGCGACTGCTTATATTCATAGAGCTATCAAATGTATGAGCATTTCCAGAAGAAGATGAATCTGTGGTACATACACATAATTCATGAGGTTAAGACTGGGCCATTGCCCAATTTAACCAAGTATTTTTTAAAAATTTGTTAGCCTTTTACTTGAAAAATATATAAACACAATATGAAATGCTATATAATGAGAATTTTTTAAATGTCTGCCTTTAAGTACAAATCTCCTAAAATAAAAAAATCTATTATGTATATTGGTGTTTTCTTCATCCCAGCAAGAATTAAACCAGGAGATCTAATAGGCATTTTAGTTATCTATTCCTGAATAACAAGTTACCCCAAATCTTAGTGGCTCAAAACAACAAAAATTGTCTCACAGTTCTGTAGGTCAGAAATCTGGCCATGTCTTGGCTGGGTCCTCTGGCTCATGAGACAGTAGTCAAGCTGCAGGTGGAACTCTGTCTCATCTGAAGGCTCAACAGAGGGTGGCCTCCATGCCAAGTTGACTCCTGTGGTTTGTTGGCCTGCCTTCTTCCCTGGCTACAGGGGCCTCAGGGGTCAGCTTTATACTTATAAACTATATGTGGACAAATGCATGAGACTTTCCAATATGTAAATTTGACTTATGTATATTTTTAGAGACTTTCCATAATTCTTCAATTCATCACCCATCCAGCATCCCCAAAGTGTTTTTACCAAGTATTTAATAGTTGAGATCCCAGTGTCTTAGAGGTTTTTTACAGTAAGTTCGCTAAATACATGAAACATCAGTAATACATAAGTTTTAAGCTGTTGTGATTCATCAGTGTTAGTATATTTCACTTGTGAAGACTACATGGGTTTATCTCTAAAGTTAATATCTGTATACTTAATTCTCTGTCCTCTTGGTGTCCTCCAGCATTGTTGCAAAACATAAGGAGTTAGAGGGGACCAGCCAGGCTTCAGCTGAATACCAAGTTTTGCAGATTGTGTCGGCAATGGAAAACTATGGCATAGAATGGCATTCTGTGAGGGATAGCGAAGGGCAGAAACTGCTCATTGGGGTTGGACCTGAAGGAATCTCAATTTGTAAAGATGACTTTAGCCCAATTAATAGGTAAGCCAAGACTTAACTTTTTTTGACCTAAGCATGTGTATACATCTGTAGCTCTCAACATAATAGAAAGTAGGAAGGGATTTACTTGACAGTCAGCTCTTAGGAATGAAATATTTCATTTTGGTATGTATATTAATTTTATTCAGGCCTGAATAACCATTTTAAATGTTACTCAAGGTATACAATGTGGCAGAGTTAACATTTTCCAAATAACCCATTCACTGCCATAAAAAACTTGTTTTCACCTCTAGACATGCATGTGTACACACCCAGCACTTGCTCCTACACTTCCCTCCACATATGCCCAACTGCTTTTCACTGTATCTTTATGACGAGGCAGCATCATGGTGATGTGATAGCCCCAGAGGAAGCGTCTGATTTTTCTCCTAGGTCATGAGCAAATGGGGATCCCACAAAAGCACACACATGGTGAATAATCAGTCCTTCTAGATCTGCTTTCTTTTCTCTTCCCGTCTCTTAGGATAGCTTATCCTGTGGTGCAGATGGCCACCCAGTCAGGAAAGAATGTATATTTGACGGTCACCAAGGAGTCTGGGAACAGCATTGTGCTCTTGTTTAAAATGATCAGCACCAGGGCGGCCAGCGGGCTCTACAGAGCGATAACAGAGACGCACGCGTTCTACAGGCACGTATCTCATGTGCTTGGTCACCTCAGCACCGCAGTTCTAAGGTTTTTAGGTGACAGCCAGGTTTCTACAGTTCCTTGGATTGTTGTGTCAATGAGTCTAGTAGAGAATTTAGGAAATTCTGAACATTTTGTTTCTGCAGTAGCAGTGGAGTCCTTGTTAATGTAGTCTTGTTTTACCCACAGAAGGTGCATGTGTGTGAGCCACACAAACACATTCTCTGCTTGCCTCCTACCATATTTTCTTATGCCGTTAATCTAGACACAAAGTGTGTTAGGAGATTTCTACGCCTATTTAATCAATACAACAACCCTAAGAGGTTAAGTATTATTACCCTAATGTTAAAGATGAGGGAACTGGGAGAATAAATATTTACTTAGTCTAGCACTCAGGTTCACAGCCAAGTTTGACTACCCTAAAGGTAACCCTGAGTGGGTGGGCCTGCTCCACTGCCCAGGAGAAGGATAGCACAGGTCATCTTTTCTTTCTGGCAGAGCTGCTATCCTGAATCCTCACTGTGTACGAAAGGATTTTTTAATAACAATATTGATCCCCTCATTTCAGAGGGTGCTTTGAAGCCAAGTTGTGATTGGACTCAGGTATTTGGACAATTAAAGTTCAGAAATTTAAGTCGTAGGCATCTTTAAACTTTTTTTATGTTAAAATAGATATACAACTTGTGAAACAGAATGGAATATTTGTAGACATTTCTAACATAAAAGCCAAGACTTCAAGGCAGATGCCCTTTTTCTTCCATAAGCAACTTGACTCGGTAGCATCTGTCCTGGGGAGGAGGTATGTGCTCACTGCCCTCTGTATTTACTGCTTTATGGAAACCATAACGTTAGGAGACGTTAGGGAAACAGGTGTAATCACTGAGGATATCTGCCAGATGTAAAACTGGAAGGACTTACTTTCATACGTGCAGACAAGAATATGAAACATCTGCTTGTTCTTGTTGACAACAGCTAATAAGGGGGCTGCTGGGCTCTTTGGTGGTAAAGTAGATGTTCAATCTTGCCTTGCAGGTGTGACACAGTGACCAGCGCTGTCATGATGCAGTATAGCCGTGACTTGAAGGGCCACTTGGCATCTCTGTTTCTGAATGAAAACATTAACCTTGGCAAGAAATATGTCTTTGATATTAAAAGAACATCAAAGGAGGTGTATGACCATGCCAGGAGGGCTCTGTACAATGCTGGCGTTGTGGACCTCGTTTCAAGAAGCAACCAGAGCCCTTCACACTCGCCTCTGAAGTCCTCAGAAAGCAGCATGAACTGCAGCAGCTGTGAGGGCCTCAGCTGCCAGCAGACCCGGGCGCTGCAGGAGAAGCTGCGCAAGCTGAAGGAAGCCATGCTGTGCATGGTGTGCTGCGAGGAGGAGATCAACTCCACCTTCTGTCCCTGTGGCCATACTGTGTGCTGTGAGAGCTGCGCCACCCAGCTACAGGTAGGGGAGTCAGCTGCCCACTTTTGCCTGCAGCCTCACCTATACCTCCTGTTAATGGGGAGTAGGAGCCAGGTACTGGCTTGCTCGTGCACCGACGGGAAATGCCCATCTTCACCCGGAAACGGTCTTTGTACTTGGTGACCTAAAAGGTATCGACCTTTAGAAACATTTTAGATGAGTGTACTATTTTCAACAACATAATTACTCCAAATTATACAGTGTTTTCAAGTTCTGAAAATGAGGCTCAGATTCCTGGGTAATGTACCTAGTTAGCAGCTGACCTGAGGACTAGAATCCAGGCCTCCTGAGGCCTGGCCCAGGGCTGCTTCCTCTATTTCAAGTTGCCTCCCTTTTTCTGACACTTAGGAGGATGGTCTTTATTACTTAAGATATTTGGGAAAGAGGCCAGGCGCGGTGGCTCAAGCCTGTAATCCCAGCACTTTGGGAGGCCGAGACGGGCAGATCACGAGGTCAGGAGATCGAGACCATCCTGGCTAACCCGGTGAAACCCCGTCTCTACTAAAAAATACAAAAAAAAACTAGCCGGGCGAGGTGGCGGTTGCCTGTAGTCCCAGCTACTGGAGAGGCTGAGGCAGGAGAATGGCGTAAACTCGGGAGGCGGAGCTTGCAGTGAGCTGAGATCCGGCCACTGCACTGCAGCCTGGATGACAGAGCGAGACTCCGTCTCAAAAAAAAAAAAAAAAAAAAAGATATTTGGGAAAGAATACTTCTCAATTATCCATGGATGGGTTGTTGACTCTGTGATATTAGTGATTAATTTCCTTTTATGATTGCAAATGCCTCAAGGGCATATGGGTTGACTGTTATTTATTAGCAAGTCAAACTAATTTTAATATTAACAACAATAAAAAGAGAACTCACATATAGTTTTCTTCCTTTCTTGCATGAAGAAGAATTTTAAATTTCCTCTTATAATAAGTTTTTTCAATTTGTTTTTATTTCTCAGGTGTTTGCCAAATGTCACTATGGTTTTATGTAAAACTGATCCTAAATAATACTTAGTCCTTCAGAAGCTGCTAATTTCAGAGCTAATAAGACCAAACAACCCCTGTGTCCTTTCCCCAGAAGCAGTCATAGGCTTGTCTTTTTCTGCCCACCCAGTCCAACTCTCATCCGTAAGTCTCTCCTGAGGGCTGATGATGGGCACGGACTTTCTGAGAAGTCAGCCAGGAATGTGGAGCTGCCACCTACGGCGAGGAGCAGAGCCACCCTCCCTGGCCATGCGGGCATCAGCCCAGAAATGTTGGCCTGACTCAGTCAGCTGAGCTAAGGACACACAATTTCAAGAAGGGTCTGCTGCATTGCTGCCTGAAGTGTTCTAGTCTACTCACGTAGAGACCACACTCTGCACAGAAAGACGCCTTCAGTAATTGCTTTACTCAATGTACTTTGTTTAGTGTTTGACTAAAAATATAATTAATTTCCTTCAGTTTATACTCTTTCATAATATTTATGTTTAAGCCCTTGTAAAGTATAAACTTTCAAACTTGTGAGACAGCAAAGATCTCTATCATTTGAAAGCTAGAAATCACTGTGATCACAATTGATTTAGAAAATTAAATGCACTAGAGACCGGGGGTGCACGCAGAGACACAGGACCCCACCAAGGCTTGCATGCTAACAGAGACTGTTGGCTTTTCTTTTCCAGTCATGTCCCGTCTGCAGGTCGCATGTGGAGCACGTCCAGCACGTCTATCTGCCAACCCACACCAGTCTTCTCAATCTGACTGTAATCTAATCTGTTGTGCTTTTATTGGACTTGCCATGTTTCCATGAACTGCACTATTATAAACTATAAAAATGATAGATTGTGGAGAAAGTAATTACTCCAACACCCATCTGCCACGCGATGTTAAAAAAAAAAAAAAAAAAAAAAGGAGAAAAATAACACAGCTACTCCTCACTGCAAAAACATATCCATGTGTAGAATCAACAACTGCAGTGGTGGGGACCAGGAGGAGCTCTGGGACGCAGACATGTTCCTTGGATGTTGATTTTTTTTATGATCAAGTAAAAGAATAGGTAAAGTCTTTGATGTCAGTGAAGTGGCAACATAGCCAAAAAGTTGGGTACCTTTTAGGAAATGATGTTGTAAGTCTCCTTAATGTATCCCGAGGTAAGTTTCCTACTGGCAGCAGATTTTGTAAGAATTACTTTTAAGAATTTCGTTCTTTTTGTATGGTCATGGAGCTCCAACCATTTTTAATAGGAAAGTTTTCCGTAAGTCGTCGTTTTAATGTCATTTCTGTCTTTATAACTTGATCAAGAATGATTGGAAGGCAAACAGATTTACAAATCAATTCTGTGACTTTTAAAAAGTTGAAGATGTCAGATCTAAACCAGTGTGGCTAGTAAAAAGCAGCTCACTCAATGTGGGTGGCTCCCTATTCCTTTATGCTCCCTCTATCCCTACCCCCACAAGGCTTTCGATTATAAAATACTACCAATTTTGTTATAAGATTACTGTGGAGTAGTCAAGGACTCCCCGGGCCTTCTGCGCTGGTGGAATATTTTATTTCGGACTGAAAACAGAGAGCACTCTCCTTGGGAAGGGAAAGCAGAGCTTGCTGAGTGAGAGACGGAGCCTCATGGTGTACAACTGAGGGTAGTTAACTCATCACTTCTCCCAAGCACTCGATCCAGCTTCACCCACTGGTGTTGCTTTCCTTGAACTGTCAAGCCTTTTATAGCCTTACCATAAGTATTTAGATATTGTGTCCTTTTCTGTGTTTTGTTTTTCTTTGGGGGTGGGGGTGGGGGGAGGTTTTGTTGTAAAGTAACTGCTTAAGTATTAACTTTGGGTTGTCCCCTCTGTATGTTTCAAAGGGGTTTTGGTTCTTTTTGCTTCTGTATTCTTAAACATGTTTTCCACTCCCACTTGGGCATTTTGGAAGCTGGTCAGCTAGCAGGTTTTCTGGGATGTCGGGAGACCTAGATGACCTTATCGGGTGCAATACTAGCTGAGGTAAAGCTAGAAACCTACACTGTCACTTTACTGAGATTTCTGAGTATACTTTTCATATTGCCTTAATGTAGCAGTAATGTGTGTATGCATTTGTTTCTTTGCACAGACATTTTGTCAAATATTAAAACTCTACTTTTTTATGGCACATATTAGCATATAAGCCTTTATTCCAAGAGGTATTTATTTTTTCACTTGTAAAAAAATAATGTTTCCACGTAAAGAACTCTGTTATATCCTAGAGGACTCTGTCTTTTTATATTCAGGATAATAAAGACTTTAAAGCAAACATGGATGTGTGTATTGTCATAGTTATTGTCATTTAAGCCAGTTTTATTTCATTTCAAAGAAATAAGCAAGGGGTAACATCACAGTTGGTATCTAATTTGCTCCTACCTGGAATTTTTTTTTTTTTTTTAATAATTTCAGTGCTCTACAAATTCAGAGAAACTTCTCTAGTAACAAACTATAGAAATGATCCTTGAGAGTATAGTCTTCCTTTTTTTTCAAGAAAATTTGAAAATATTTAGGGTATTGGTTCTAATGGAGCTCACTTCACCTAGTTACTCTCTTATTTATGTTTTTGGGTGGTTGGGTTGTAATGTAGTAGAAAATGGGGTCATGTACATAAGCAGATGAAAAGAAAAAATTAGGAAAAGTATTGGAAGCTATTGGAGAAGGAAGGAAGTGGCAAAGTTGGAAGTTAACAATTTAAAAACCCAGCTGGTGCTTGTGCTGCTGGTGTGTGGCCTGCTCAAGACAGGGGAGTGGCCTAGGTCACAGCAGTAAGGGCCTCGGGCTACAGAAGCTCGGACTGTATTCCCGCAGGACTGCTGGTCTACTCTTGCTAGGTCCTAACTGCTCTATGCTTGCCAGTGCATGGTCGTCTGTTTCTTCAGAAATACATTTTGGAGTAAAGAATATTGTACATAATATATATAAGTGATCATTATCTGTAGCAATTGGAGGAAGTAAATTTATTTTGTTTAATTGGAGGCGGGGGATTTGTTTTTAATGTGCCTATAACCTAAGTCAATCTTCCATTAATTTCTAGGAATTAACTCATTTGTTCATTCAACACATTTATTGAAATCTAAGTTATTGAGCCCCTGGAAATTTAACAGTCATCAAGACATAAATGATTCTGGATGCCTGTATCATGTACTTAGCCTGTAACATGTACTTTTGTCTCTGCATGGAAGTTAGATAATATTCAGAATCCAAGAATATTGGCATCAGGCATACCAGTCTTAAAATGCTATCCAGGTTGATGGAGGGATGGATGGATGACAGGCCGACAAATAGATAAGATTACATATTGTTCACCCCACTAGACCATATGGATGCCTTAAGCTCAGTGACTAACATGAAAACCACTATATTACATGGTGGCATCATAGAACTAGAAGGGAAGTGCAGCGGAGGCACAAGAGGCAGGGATTCATTCTGCTTAGGAGCCAAGGGTAAAGGTGCTTCACAAAAAAGATCACTGAGTAGAGCGTTGACATTCTAGTTGGAAAAAGAAAGTGCATAGCCCATGCCAGGGCTGGAGCGCAGACTGCTGGGGCTGGCCCACCCCCTGCATGTCAGTGAAGTGGTAAGAAATTGGGCTCTGAAGGAACATGTGAAGTAGAGTCACAGTGGTGGGGAATCTTGAATTCCTGGTTTAACGTGGACATGGTTCTCCACTGCCTTCAGAACAAGGAACTTTTGGGACAGGGGTGGCAATCAGATCTGGTTCTTGCACAGAGAAGGGGTCCAAGAGTAGGAAGAGAACAGTGGCAGAGAACTCAATTTTGACCATCTGTCAACATGAAAAAAATGAGACAGAGTCAAAATACTTTAGAAATATGGTCAGCATTACCGAGAGAGACAAGTCATACGAAAATCCTGTTTCTGGCTTGGAATAGATAGCCTTTAATGGAGAGACAAAAAAGGGAGCAAGTCCTGAACGTAGAAAGGAAATTGCAACAGGGTTTGGCCACGCATTTGAGATGCCTGGTGATGGGCAAACCTGGAGGCAGTTGAAAGTTTGGGTTGGAACTTCCAGAGGATGAAGATAAAGAGAAACATGTAGTGGCCATTACATTTCATTGATATTTGAAGTCATGACGACTTAGAAGTCATCTATAGGAGTGTGAAAGGGGGGAAAGAATGAAGCTGAGTGTGTGTCAAGGACCCACATCTAAAGGACCCACATCTAAAGTGAACAGTGAGACTATGAAGGTATTTGAGAAAGAACCGGCAATGGGATAGGGATAACGAGGGGCAGAAAGCTAAGCCAGGAGGCAGCTGCAAAGAGGCGGTCAGCTGTGTTAGGACTGCTGCAGGGTCAAGGAGGGGGAGTACCAAGAAAGCCATAACATGTGGCAATATGAGGAAGTGTCAGGGCTTAAGAAAGAGTGGGTGCATGTCCAGAAGTGAGGGGATACTACAAGGTTACCAGATTGCAGTGTGCCATGTTGGTGTGCTGCACCCATGAACTCGTCATTTACATTAGGTATATCTCCTAATGCTATCCCTCTCCCCTCCCCCTACCCCACAACAGGCCCCGGTGTGTGATGTTCCCCTTCCAAGCATGCACCACTGTAGTACATAGGAGAGGCCCTCCTCTCCTCTATGCCTACCCAGGGCCTCCCGTTTAAAACACAAAATCAATGTTCTCACTCATAGGTGGGAACTGAACAATGATTTTGTGCTTTAAATGCGAGGCCCTGGGTAGGCATAGAGGAGAAGAGGGCCCCTCCTATGTACTACAGTGGTGCATGCTTGTAGTCCCAGCTACTCAGAGGCTGAGACGAAAGGATTGCTTAAGACCAGGAGCTCGAGAAGTGAGGGTGAACGAAGATTCAGCTAAGGGGACAAGAGAGGAATAAATGAAGAGCCTGGATCTTTGGAACACTGGAGAAACTGAAGACTCAACAGGCTGATCTGCCAAAGGTAAAATTTACGGGACTTGAACAAAAGCATTCTTTGGTCTTTTTATTAAGGGTTTCAAAAATCAGTGATGAAACTAGAGAGTTATTCCCATCCTACCCCATTCCAGTATGTTTACTGTATATTTATCTTGTCACAAGATGAGCTCGTGCAACGCTGGGAAGTTCTGGGGGGAGGTTCCCCTTACCTCTGCCATTGAACACCAAGTATCAGAAGCCCCACAGGAGAGCACACATGGGTAAACGCATTAGCTCTTCGAAGAACAACATGAGAAAAAAGGTATGCCCTGTAGAACAGAAGTGTGGGGAAATTTCCAAACACAAGCATTAAAGAAAGTGCAGCGGTGGTTCACGCCTGTAACCCCAGCACTTTGGGAGGTCGAGGCAGGTGGATCATGAGGTCAGAAGATCGAGACCATCCTGGCTAACACAGTGAAACCCCGTCTCTACTAAAAAAATACAAAAAATCAGCCAGGCATGGTGGCGGGCACCTGTAGTCCCGGCAACTTGGGAGGCTGAGGCAGGAGAATGGTGTGAACCCGAGAGGCGGAGCTTGCAGTGAGCCGAGAACTCGCCACTGCACTCCAGACTGGGCAACAGAGCGAGACTCAGTTTCAAAAACAAAAAGTGCATGCACACGTCACTGCATTTGCATGCGTGCCTGAAGAAGGAGGGATCCAGGGATGTTGGTGTGTTTAGAGAGCCAAGAATAAATTAGGAAAGTTGAAATTTTTAATACCGTCTGACCAAGCGATGGGGAAAGGTACCTAAGTGGAATTTAAGCACAATCCAAATTTAAGACAAAAACACAATCATTCTTGTCTTTCTCACTGCTTATCACATTGAGTGCCTTCTCATAGACATTCTAAAACACTGAAAATTACTTTTATTCATATCTGCAGAATCTTCTTGAAATTCATTTATTTAAAAACTGCAGGATATTAAAGAGTTAGCCCTATGCCTCTTCAAAACAAAGCTATGTCAGGACCACACAAATGATACAGATTGAACAGACCTCAAAGAAAAAATACGCTTTAAGCAAAAGCTAAACATCTGTTGTTCATAAAGCTTGCCATAGTGCTAAGGGCAAGAAAAACTTAAAGGGGTAAGCTCTTTTTTCTATCAAGGAGCGATTCTTCTAGTTGAGGAGAAGGTATCTATGTGAAACAAAAGGATAAGCAGTTCTAAAACCAAAACTAATGAATATATAGATATATGTGTATTATATATGTATTCTTATATGAAGGGGTGCCAGTGAATGGGGGAGCACTTTTTAAAGTGGATAAGTTGTTCTTTGTCTTGAAGTAAGTACAGGATTTGGACTGATGGAAAGGGAAAGCATGAGAATGCAAAAGAGCCCACAGGCGAGGAGCAAAGGATATGAGAGAGGACAGCAGTAGAGCCAGTTCATGAAGAGACGTGACTGCTGGAATAAAGATTTCAGCTTTGCTTTGATACGTGCGTAAAAGCTACAGTAAGGTGTTTATATGTTTGATTCATGTGGGCTTTTATTCCTTAACTTGGGCATTGATTTACTAATTCAGCAAGTGCAGTGCACATTACATACCTAGAATACATCAGGCTCTCTGTTAGGGCTAGGGCAGTGGTTCTGGATCAGGGGCAATATTGGCCCCCAGGAAGCACTGAGCACTGTCTGGAGATGTTCTTCAAGGGTCGCAATGCGGGTAGGTGGCTACTAGCATTTAGTGGGTAGAGGGCCCGAATGCTGCTAAACCTCCTACAATGCACAGAATAACACCCCCCACAGCAAAGAATATTGAAATTTCCAGCCCCAAACATCAATATTGCTGCTGTTGAGAAACGCTGGGCTGCATGGTACAGGTATCTGAGATGTAGTTCTTACCTGCTCTGGGAATCCAAGGGCAGTTGAGGCTGTAAACTAATAATTCCACTCTAGTAGGTTCCCACAATCGAAGCACGTATCAGGTACTATGGAAGAGCAGAAGATGCCACTCGCTCTGCTTCAGGTTGGAAGGTGTCCTGGAGGAAAGTTGCATTGGAGAGGAATCTTGGAAGGTGAGCCAGAGCTTGCCAGGTAGGGAAGGTGGGTGGAAGGAGCCAGTTCAAAAATGTAGCATATTTGGGGGCCAGTGGGCAGTTTGGCATGACTGAAATACAGCGTATGTGGTTGGATGGGTTGGGATGAAATAATGGGAGATGGGGTTGGGAAGTTAGGTTGGGGTCTTATCCAGGAAGGTGCTAGAGGCCCTGGTAACCCCTACTCCCAGCCCTACTGATAAGGTCAGTGTCCACAAAGATCATAAAAGGGAATCAAGAAGTGCTGGCTTCCTCAGTTCTGTTCACTGCACTCTTGTCTCTTGTCCATAGATCTTACTTCCTAGCCTGGGCTCTGCCGAGCATGTGTCCTCTGAGTTTTTAGTAAAGTAAAGGGAATAGCAAAATAAAACCATTGCTAGTAATGTACCCTAGAGATGGAAGCTGTCAGGTAATCATTTAGAATTTAAAAGCTCGTCTCCACATTCCTTCAGATGAAGAAAACGGTAGGATAAAAATATAGCACAGCTTATTAGTAACATCTTACCCATTTTTTCCCTAAATGGTTAGAACACGCTGCCTTTCCGTGCTCTGTACATCAGCGTTTCCGTTATTAAAGCTATTTTTCAGTTCTAAATCCTAGGAGGATTTTCCCCCATGAATTTAACATGACTAAGGAAACTTGCTCCAGGGTAAAACTTTGCTGCAAATTATCTGAGATAGGCTTCTTAATAAAGAGACCAAAAATGAATCATAGCCTTTTAGTAGTTTCAAATGTGGAGTTACCGTTCTCCTTCATCCCCACTATCATGATTATTCATAATGGAAACGGGCCAGCTTTATAAATAATTACACACAACAAGAGTCCTTTGTGTTCAACACTGGAGGCTGCTGCTGATGCGGGCCGGGAGAGTGTGTGTGCAAGAGTTACGGGAGACAGCACACAAGCCAGGCAAAGCTGTGGCGTCTAAGCTTCTCAAAAGGTCATCCCTACACATGAGGTACGACACCCCTAGACCCAGGCAGCACGTTCTGAAATGGCACTCGGGTTACCTGTTCAAGCCCAAGGCCCTACAAATGTATCGCCATGATTTTCCTGGTCTTTAGATATCATATAGGCTCTTGTAAATGCAAGTGTGACTTACACAAATGAACAATTGTACTAGAAAAGCAAACTATTAAAACAGCTTTATAAATCCCTCCGAGCACCCTCTCTTCTCTTCCCTCGCTGCAGGACAAAGGGTAAGCCATACCCCTATGCTTTTGTCTGTGGGAGCCATGAGCCCCACCTCTACTTCAGTAATAGATACTAGAGAGCTTTTTCCTCTTCATACCACCTCTATGTTTGAAAGCTCTTTCTCCTTTAAAAAAATTAATTTTTCTTTTTTTTTTTAAGGAGATGGAGGAGTCTTGCCATGTTGTCCAAGCTGGTCTCAAACTCCCAGACCTCAGCCTCTCGAGTAGCTTCGTCTACAGGAACATGCCATCTTTCTCCTTTTAAGAAGAAGCCATGCCTCCCTTCTCCCCTCTGGTATTTAACCTAAATTTACATGCCGTACTTAAGGATCTTTGGTGGAGTCCCTGAGCGGGTGGTTCTAAAGGTTTGATGGGAATTGGTTCATTTCATTCTCATAACATGTCTATGAAGCAGAGATTCTCCTTGGCCTCATTTTACAGATGAGGACCTGAGGCACAGAGAGCCGGAGTGACTTGATCAAGGTCACAGAGCTGGAAAGAGGAGAGCCAGGAGTCACATACAGGGCTCCAAGTGTTCCCCACCCCCACCCAACCCACAGCACTGCTTCTGAGGGGCAGCCTTACACATGGCCAGGGATGCTTCAAAAGGTTTACCTTACCACAGACCATCTGAAGGGATGAAATGGCCAGTACACTTGTTCTCTTTGTTTTTGTTTTGCTTTGCTTTTAAGGAGTGTGACTAACAGCCCAGACCCTCTCCACTAGTGCCCTGGAGTTTGAGGGCACAACCTTTGATTGCACCAGTCCTCATTAGCAAGGGCTCTTTTGGCTTCCCCCTTTGGGCAGCCCCATCCCAGCCCAGGAAGCCATTTTACAGCAATATATGTGTATACATTAATTACCATGCATTTTTATGGAGAAAACACCTTAAAGAAACAGTTAGAAGGCAGACAGGTAAATCAAATGGGATGACAATTCTGGGATCTCCAGTGCTCTTTTTGACTGACTGAAAGGACTGTAGAAAACAACTGAAGGACTTCAGTCCTGGCAAGCCTTCGCGGTTTCAGAGTTTCCACGTTATTACTCATCTCCTTACTGGCCCTTCTCCTCCCAGCTTCGAATTTCCACCACTAAGCCCTGGGGAGAGAACAAGAGCTGTGGGCCAGTCAGGCCTTAGCAGGGAGGCAGAGAATGCATGCACGGCCTTCAGCTGTGCAGCGGACCCCCAAGGGCAGCTCCTGTTCCAGGCCCACACCCACCGGGAATCTGGCCAAAAGACCAGAGCCAACTCCACAAAGCACTTCTGAGAAATGGATATTTCACTCAAGGCTTTGAGGAAAGATTCTCATTATATAGGAAATGTGGCCAAAAAAAATACCTAAAACCCCCTAACTTAAGCATCTCTGTTCCTCCCTTCCAGACACAATAAACAGCAACAGAGAGAGGGGCAGAAGAATGAACCTAATGACTAAAGGAAGGACAAAGTGGAAGAAGATAAAGAACAAGGGAATAAAAAACACTTTTCTGTGAATGTAGGTGAACCAAGTATCTTTGTTGGCTGAGTTAGCAAAGGGGAAGTCTATGGGGAGATGACAGTGAAGCAGGAAATTTCCCTGACCCCTTTGCAGATGGGAACTGGAGTGCAGGTGCTGGAGCTAGCCGGCTGCTTCGGCACCAGCAGGGGCAAACTCCACTCACTCGAATCCATTGCCCTCAGCCCCTCGCGGGAGGGAACACACAGGTGAGTGGATGCAGGAACCGGGGTGAGCGCTTTGAGGCACCAGCAGGAGCAAAACTTTGTGTGGGTCCTGTGGCAGCATCTAGAGGGGAGAACTTGTGATGCTGTCCACAGACAACTGAAGTATTAAACAACTCAGTGTTGCAGTGAGCCGAGACCGCGCCACTGCACTCCAGCCTGGGCGACAGAGCGAGACTCCGCCTCAAACAAAAAAAACAAAAAACAAAAAACAAAAAAAACCAAATAAACAGCTCAGTGGGCCCTCTGCCTTTTTGCATGAGGTAGTTGCTTTCCACCAGCAAGGGCAGAAGGTCAGTGTGACAGCCTTTGGAATCTGTACCTGTGGCACCTGATCTCTTGTTCAGTGTCCAGGAAAAAATCAGGTAGCATGAACAAATTGAAGAGTGGTGAATGTGGAGGATTTTATTGCTGAGGAAAGTGATGAAAGTGATGAAGGGAAGCTGAAAGGGGATGGAGCAGGAAGCTATGCTGTCAAGCTGTCTCTCTGATGTCAAGCTGCTTCTCTCCAACACCCAGCTGCTTCTCCTCCCTCTGACAGCTGAGCCTGGGGGTTTTATGGGCACAAGACTGGGGGCAGGGTAGGCAGTGGGTGGTTTTGGAAAAGGCAAAATTCCAGCCAGAAAACAGAGATGTAAACTCTCACTTTGGGCCACGGTATGGGTTTTTCAGCTTGAGGATGGGGCCCTCACCACGGACCTGCCCTCTTCTGCCCAGAATTTCTCAGCCTCCTGTCCCTATCAACAGTAAAATAAACATGTGAAATTAACACATTTGCTGCTTCTCTTCTCTTTGTGGCTCTGCATTACTTACGAACCATGAGGGTAAATTTCAACGGCAGGAGAGTGAAGGTGGTGGGATTCTTTCCAAAATTTCTCTGACCATCTCTATGCAGTTTGTCAAGAGAAGGAAGACACAAGCTGCACCTCTTACTGCAGGCCGTACTGAGGCTTTATGCAAGAAATCAATTACAAGTTATCCATAGAGATAAAGTTCTGGGTGCCCCAGAACTTTATCAAGTTGCTCAACTACAGCTGTAAAAGGAGGATAAGTCTATCTAGCAGAGCCTCAGTTTACTGTCCTAGAACTTGAATATCCATGGCTTGGGAATAAAGGAATGATCACATTTGAATGCAAATGTCCAGGGAAAGCAGATGTAGCTTGTTATCTTGAATAATCTGAGTAATAAGACAATGCCACCTGTTACTTAATGAAAACCAAAGACTGTCCTTGCCTCAATGCTCTAGATGCCAGCCACAAGGGCCAGCACCGTTCCAGGTGTCTCCCTACACATGGACAAGCATTTCATCTGCCAGTCTTGCATCTGTAAACACATCTGCTCAGGACATTCCCTGCACAAAACACTCAGTAACTCCCCATAGCATGCAGAGTTCAACTCATACTCCTCAGCCTGGCAGTAAAAACCTTTCATCACTTAACATCTACATAACTTTCCATCTCAGGTCCCTGTCCCACCTGCCATTCCACCCACTGTTGAGGCTGGCATCAGCTACTCAGCTCCCTGAATGTGCTTTGCATCCCCCTCTCTTCTCACTCCTGGACTTTTGCTGAAATGTTTCAGATGCTTAGGGAGCACTTTTCTCTTGCTTCCCTGTACTGCAGAGATATTCACCTGACCTAAACTTTCTTCAGGGGCCAGCTTAAATCTCACTACTTGCCAAATTCTTCCATGCAAAATCAATTTCTTCCTCCATTGTAATACCATAGCACTTTGCACCAACACATACCATCAGAGGCGTGTATGTGTGTTTCATGCATATGCCTAGATTACAATAGTTCCTTCATAGCATTTACCATTATGTGGCATATTATACATTTACTTATGTATTTTGTATTGTCTGTCTCCTCTTCCAGAAAGTACAAAAATTTTGTATGCTTTATTACTGCACTCCCAATGCCTAGAACAGTGCCTAGCAGATAGTAAAGGCTCAATAAATATTTGCTAAATAAATAGATGAATGGGAGCCTAGAGATCCCAGACTGTCTTGTTCATCTCCTCATCACCCCAGAGTGGCTGGCGAAGTGCTTTGCACATGCTTCTTGAATCTGACTGGATGGAAGAGCTGGCCACCTGGGTTTGGCTATGTACATCTCCTCTGCTTTGAACAGAAGACATGGATTTAACTGCCAGTTACGCAGCTGCGGTGCTATAAGCCAGGCAGACATGATGGGGGCTGAGACTCATACAGGAAACCCCTAGGTTAATGGGCAGCCCTAATTGCTAAATCTAATTAGGAAGGAAATCAGTTAAATTAGGAATCCTTCATGTAAGAAAACCAAACAAAAAGCTGTTGAGCAAAATTTTTCATTCTTCATTCGCTTTAATCAGCTTCCTTGAAGAAGAAGAGAGGATAGCAGGATTTCAGGAGGAGTGTTTTATTGGGCCAAAAGCCATGCTCCCACGACTACAGAACCCCAAAAAGAAAGAACAACATGGTCTTTGGCCACTAGGTTCCTCTTTGGCATGTGCTCTGGAGGAAGCTGCCTCGTCACCTCTCCAAAGAGCCTGAGGATTATCGCTGTGAAAGCTCAGGCTCTCAGGCTTGAATCGTTGCCAACAGGCTTCCAATTTGAAGGGCTGATCCTCTTAATTGAGCAAAAGCACACCGTCCCCACCTCCCCCCACTGAAGCAAGCGACGCAGAAGCACCATGCAATTCACCTCTACTGCTGAAGCGGTTACTTGTGTGGTCTTCAGTCATTTGGTCCGGAAAGACTGATATTTTTCTCAATATTTGCCATTTTAATGTGTTTGCATCATCATCTTCTGCAGCACCTTAAGTAACACAGAGCTGCCTCTTTCTTTTTTCTTGAGAAACCCATCAGATAGATATGAAAACAAAGAGATACAATAATATGAATATCCCTAAGAATTACCATCAATACCAACAGGATTGATATTTGTGAAAAACTATATATACATCTATACAGTATATTCAAGGCAAATATTCAGGAAGCAGAGTGGTCACGTTAGTATCAGCTCCATCAGGATTCTAGGTAAGCTCTTTCACAAACCTTGTGAACTGGGACAAGTCGAATAAGCTCTCTAAACTTTGACTTCCTCATCTGTAAAATAGGAATAAAGATAATACCTGTTCATGGTCATTTTGTGAAGATGAAATGAGATAATGCCATAAAGCACTAAACACTGTGCCCAGAATATAGTAACCACTCCGTACATGGTGATTGAATACATTAATAGGCTGCCAGGCATCCTCCAACCACTGGCCCAGACTGGCTACATTTCTGAGACAATGGGACTTATCCTCAAAACAACTGGGTCCTGAGGCTATGTTTACAGCTGTGCTGGTTGCACCATTCAAAGTTTATGCCTCAAGGATCTAGATATTGACTATTACAATTTTACAGGAAATTATCACAATTTCCCAAGAGATGGAAAAAAAGCATCGTGAGGAGTGGGGAGACTTTTTCCACTTTGCACAAAGGCACTCTACGAACAAGCCCTGGCCCTGGGCAGTAAAGACAAGCATTGGCGCCAGCCCCCTGGAAGAAAGCAACTCAAGTTAGATGACTGTTGTTTTAGCCACAGTTGGGCATTCATGGGACTCTAAACACTGTAAGTATTGTGGAACAGGGCTCAAAAGCTGCTCTCACTGGACGGTCTTTTTGGTTTGTAAATGTTAGCTAACCGTGTTTGCTGTCCTTATTATAATTATTATCTTATTTTACTAGATTCTTTGTTGTGTCCAAGCAGTCTGTTGTGTTCAAACACAGTGACCATATCTGTTCATCAGCACAATCCACCTGCCATAATAACGATGAAAAGGCCACCCAAGCTCCCACCACACCATCCTGAAGCCAGTCAGTCCAGCCTGTAATAAGGCTCTCTGCAGACTCAGCCTTCCTCTTTGGAATGGGAACATGTTCTGAATCTGGACAGAGGACTTGAATACCCTCAGGCTGTCTAGCTGAGGGTTGGCAAGAAGGATGAACAGAATAAAGCAAGGAATGTGAGCCCAGGGGATCAAAAGGAACCATCAGGGCAACTACCGCACAGCAACCAGAGATGGGCGTCTGGAATGGTCACCTGAGCAAGGGGTCCTGGGAGCCACAAATAGTCATAAGGACACGGCAGGCCACAGCTCCAGAGTGGGAACCTCTCGCTTCTTCAAACCCTGATAATATGCTGTCCGTAGCTCCCTATATTAGACTTATACATTGCCTGCTCACCCTCCTGGAAGTTTGTTCATACAAACGTGTAAGAACCATGACTCTGTCCTCCCTCTCACTTGTTTCTACCACAGTAGTAAATCCATGCTGGTTGAGCATAAACCTATCCACTCTCTTTCATCCTATACCTTTCTCTGTCTTGATTGTAGTGATGGTGATCACACAACTGTATGAATTTGTCAAAACCCTAGAGCCATATATACCACAAAGAGTGAATATTACTGAGTGCAAATTAAGAGAGGAGGGTTATGGCAGTCGCTGTTGATTGCCTGCACAACAGCGCTTCTTTTCTCACAAAACCCTGATTTTATTTTATTCAGCCTCCTTTAGGGAAGGCTAAACTTTCCCAGCCTCATGGGGATACATCTCGATTAATCTAAACCAATCGGGAATTCGATTCCTCCTGTCACTGATTGGTTTGAAAATGGCATTTGAGAAGATTCTTTTTTTTTTTTTTTTTTTTTTGAGACAGAGTCTCGCTTAGTCGCCCAGGCTGGAGTGCAATGGTGCGATCTCGGCTCACTGCAAGCTCCGCCTCCCGGGTTCACGCCATTCTCCTGCCTCAGCCTCCCGAGTAGCTGGGACTACAGGCGCCCGCCCCCTCGCCCGGCTAATTTTTTGCATTTTTAGTAGAGACGGGGTTTCACCGTGTTAGCCAGGATGGTCTCGATCTCCTGACCTCGTGATCCGCCCGCCTCGGCCTCCCAAAGTGCTGGGATTCTTGCCAATCTAAGGTGTGAGGGTCTGTGCCAGGTGCGGTGGCTCACGCCTGTAATTCCAGCACTTTGGGAGGCCGAGGCAGGCAGATCACTTGAGGTCAGGAGTTCGAGACCAGTCTGGCCAACATGGTGAAATCCCGCCTCTACAAAAAACACAAAAATTAGTTGGGTGTGGTGGCGGGTGCCTGAAATCCCAGCTACTCAGGAGGCTGAGGTGGGAGAATCACTTGAACCCAGGAGGCAGAGGTTGCCTTGAACCAAGATCATGCCACTGCATTCCAGTCTGGGTAACAGAGCAAAACTAAAACTAAAAATGAAAATAAAAACAAAATTAACCTAAAACATTTTTTAAATAAGATGTGGAAGCTTCTGCTCAGGTTCTCTTTACAAAGGTGCTTCACCCGGCTCTCTGCTGCCACCCGAGCCGATTATGGACCAGGGCCTGGCGGGGCTCCTGCCCTGTGCTATAGCCTTTGACATCATCACACTGGCTGGCGGGGGCTGGCTGCAGGCGAGTGACCACATCTGCACATCCTCGCTGGAGTGGAGACACTCCCACAAGGGCGGCCGCCAGGGTCTCGTGGGGGAAGAAATGGCGAAGAGCAGCTGCTATGCTCCTCTGTGGCTCTGTCACCCTCGAGATCTGTTCCATCCTCTGCTTCTTTGCCCTCTATGGATCCCAAGCGCTTGTCTTCGTAGGAGTGACTGGAGCCTCTCGCTCTGGCTGCTGTGTTCTGGATCATCCTTCTGGTAATACACCCGTGAAGTACACCCAGACCTTCAACCTTCATGCCAAGCCTGCTGTCACATCTATAACTGGACTGACAGCTTCAGATGGGTGCCCACAATTATCCTGACCGGCTGTGCCTTCTCCTGCTGCTGCCTCCCAAACTCCGAAGATGACCTCCTGGGCAACTTCAGACCAAGTACTTACATACATCACCTCAAGTGGGGAATGAGAGAGGGAGAAAATTGCTGGTGGGAAGATGGATTTAGAGGAAGGAACTAGTTGCAATCCATCAGAAGCCATGCTATACGATTAGAGCCCAGTTAAACTTGAGATGAAAATATCAAGCCGTTTTTTATCCTTAGGCTGTTTTCCCAGGCTGCTTTGAACCTATTTTTTGGCAGTTGATGTCACTAAACTAGTCAAAAATGCTAGCACAAGTTGGGAGAAAATATTTCTTAAATACTGTTATAATTTCATGTTCTTTTTTGATACATGTTTTGTGAAGTTAAACAAGACTTTCTTTCTTCTAATTACCTCTATTTGACAATATTTCCTTATATTATCCATAGCATTTATACCACATTTGTAAAAGAATATGAATATCAAACTTACCTCTTTATATAGTAAAAATGAGAAGGCTTTCAAGATTTAATAATCTGATCAAATTTTTGTTTTTTCTAGATGGAATGGACTGAGTCTATAAAGGGCTAAAAAAAGGAAGATATTGGTAAAAATTGTCAGTGACCAAACATTCCAAAAAAAATGCAAGAAGATAAATATTTTTGCAACCCTCCATCTACTTAAAGAAGCAAAATAGTTTCCTACAGGCATAACATTTGTGAGAATTTGTTATTACTATCCTGCGTAACAGATTTTTTGCTAAGCTTCACGTTAACTTGATGTACCACCCAAGAACGTATTCTTTCATGGCCAAGGCCTGTGTGGTAGTCAGGCCTCCTTAAGAAGTGAAACGTGAAAATGAAATTTTCTCTTTTGAAGTGGTTTATGGGGTTAGGGTGTGGGAAAATGCTGTATTAATAAATCTGTCCTGTTTTATGTCTAATGTTCAGGCCCAGAGCAGACCAGATTGAAAGATGGACTGGGTCTAATTCATCATGACTGATAGATTTGATTAGATTGTGTAGTGAAGCATTAGAAGGGCTATTCCTATCACAAAAAGTGCCATTCCAACAGCCTAGGGGTAAGAAATGGCTTGATTTTTGTTTTCATCTCAGGTTTAACTAGGCTCTAATTGTGTAAATACAGCTTCTGATAGATTGCAACTGTAAGCCAAAACAACATACAGTTAAAAATGTGGTCTTCCTTGGTAAATAGATCCAAAATGTCTAATGTAAAACATGCAACAGAAGATTTAAGGAGTGTGAGTTTCTCTCAATGACATATATATATCCAGAGGATTTTTATCTTGTTTGTACTTATACAATGAAATTCATTTTGCGGTCGGGCACGGTGGCTCACGCCTGTAATCCCAGCACTTTGGGAGGCCGAGGTGGGAGGATTGCTTGAGTCCAGGAGTTCTAGACCAGCCTGGGTAACATAGTGAGACCTCATCTCTAAAAAAAAAAAAATAAAGAAAAAAAGAAAATCATTTTATATATCAAATCATTATTTTGTAAGTTGTGAAATAAGCAATTGCAGTTTTCAGTATGATTTTTCCCCCAATAACCAGGTATTCTAATTTTTAAAAACAGCTAGGGGGCGGGGATTCAGCAAGATTATGTGCCCTCTGCTTTTCTGGCTTTTAGTATTGTGTAAGGATGTAATGCCTGGAGCTGCCACTGCAATCTTGTGAAGATGAGGGGTGCTAGCACACATGATGAGGATGGCAGACCCAATAGGTGGAAAGATCTAGCTCATCCTGACAACATTAAGCAGCTGAACTCACTGATCCCAGAACTTCAGGCCACCCCATCCAGCCCTTACCATCTCCTGTCCTACTGCCATGGGAGGTAATACACTTTCTGCTTATTGTTGAAGCTGCTTTATTTGATTTTCCTATTACCTGCAGCCAAAAGCATTGTGATTAATACACTGGTCCCATGCTGCTAGAAATGAATCATGCCTCCTGTAGGGTTGTATCCAACAACAAACACATGGCAGGTGTCTGTTTTGTCATCCACAAGATGCAACGTGTTTGTTTCGCAGAAATTGTCTCTATCACCTGTGGGCTTTTGCTACCCATGGAGCTACTTGTACCTAATTCAACCAATTAAAAAAAAATGCTAGAAACTTAAGCCAACAAAGCTGTCAAAATTTGTCTTGGGTTCTTGGGTTAGACAACTTGTTGAGATTTTATGATACGTTTCCTTTTTTCTCCTCTTTTTCTAGGTTCTTTCCTGCTGGGTGCAGAACACTCAATTATCACCTTCTCATGTGTGTAGGCTCCCTCACTGAGTCAGCTCCCACCGGGGCCTTCCCATGACTTTTTTGTTGTCTTTATCTGTCTAAAGCTTCATCTTCCTTTGACATTTATCTTCATCTGGAAATTCTATATTCTTCCTTTTCCTCTTGTCTTCATCTTACATAGAATCAACATTGTCCACTGAAAGTTATGTTTAAGAAGCAATGTTAACAAAACTATCATGAAGTCCCTTGTACCTTGTTAAAAATCACTTTATTCATCACTTTGTTGTTTTTTCAAATATATTTTTCTCTGGATTGAAACTGCTTACCATGCAGGTCATTGGAAGTCTCTTTATTCCCATCAAACTCTTTTTCAGGTTTGACATCTTTGTCCTCTATTAACTCAACTTTGAGTGTCTCCGTTTTAATTCAACAGAAAAAGCTCCTCCCCTATCCTTCCAGCCCCATGACTGTAAGATAAAAAATTTCCTGCTACAGACATCTTGCAGGCAATGTGCCAGGCAGGCAATGCATCAAACAGCCTACATTGATCAGAACTCAGCCCTTGTCATATATCTCTTCCTAAAATGCCTAGCAGAATAATTTATTGAGTACATGGCTCAATAACTTAAATTGTTTTGAATTAAATCAAATTAAAGTTTTACAGTCACTGCTGGAGGGAGAACAGGCAACATGTATGAATTTTCACTGTTTGGGAGCATATGGAAAAAAACATCAATAGTAGTAGCCTCTTAAGATCCCAGTGGCTAGACTCAGCCTACCCATGACAGTCAAAAGTTTACTATTTATGATGTGGATTATCTCATACCAGTCCATTGCTTCACTTTCTACTGGCTGACACCTCTGGTATATTTCATCCTTTCTTCTTCTTTTTCTCTTTTTAGAGACAGGGTCACCCAGGCTGCAGCACAGTGGCATACTCATAGCTCACTGCAGCCTCGCTCCTGAACTCAAGTGATCCTCCCACCTCAGCTGACCAAGTAGCTGGGACTAGAGGCATGCACCACCACACTGAGCTAAGCACCTTTGATTCTAATACTGAAAATATCATTATAAAATATCTAGTAGGTATGGATTAATGAATGAGTTAAATGGCAGGTGTCTGACCTTAATAAGTAAAGGTTTGGGGACACCAGGGAGATGGTAATATCTGGGATCTTCTTAGCCCTCATTACCAGGACAAAAAGAAACAAAATGAAGTTTCTCAAAATGCCCATTTAGTACATTATTTTTATTGTAATAAACATATAGCTTTTTCAGATCTTATTTTTGTTCCTTCTATTGTTAGTCCTGAGTCCCTGTGGTGACAGCCAGATTTCATTTCATTCATTCATTTATTCATTCTGACCATCACATGGGGGCCAAGCACTGTGGTGGGTACTCGGGGCACACCAGTGAACAGAACAGACAAAGCCCTGTCCTCTTGGAGTTTACATTCTAGTGCAGGCAACATAGAAATATAATAAATCCATAAACTCAGGAAGAGCTCAGTTCTTTTTAGATCAATAAGGCCTAACTGTGAACTGTGAACTGTGAACTGTGAACTGTGAACTGTGAAGGGACGGCTTCCCTGAAGAGGTACCGAGACCTCATTTTAAAAGAAGAATTTTTATTTTTGGACATTCTTTAGATATTGACTTCTTCTGTTCTCTAGTAGAAGTATCTTGCAGCAAGGAATAGAAAGACTGAAGTCAGTTGATGTGATATTGGGAAAGTCCTGTCTTTTGCTTCTCTGGGCCCCTGTGTGGACTTCTGTGAATGAAAGAATAAAAAAAAAACAACAAAGTGTTTTTCCTATCCTCTCACTCAACAACAATCAACACAGAAGACTTCTGTGCCCTCTGGGCAAGAAGAAGTTTGTGGATATTTCTCCCAACCCACAGCCAATCAATCCATCCATCAATCCCGCAGAGGACACTAGCTGGGTGTCCTCTTGATTCAATTCAATTCTGATGCTATCTACCTGGAGACAGCATCAGATCCCACAGGTTGAGGGCTCAGTCCCACGAAACTGCCCTCCACCAACCCAGGATCCTCTCCTTTTTTTAGGGCCCATTGATGAGCAACCTTAATTCCATATGGAACCTTAATTCCCCCCTGCCAAGTGAGGGGGAAAAACACACCCAAAGCGTTTCCTCTATTCTCTCACTTAACAACAATCAACACAGAAGACTCCTGTGACCCAACTGAGGAGGTGTTTCTCCCATGCACCAAGCAAGCAAATAATTCCTCAGTGGACACCAACGGGGTGTCCTCCAATTCAATTTGATTCTGATGCTATCTACCTGGAGAGAGTGTCAGATCCCACAGGTTGAGGGCTCAGACCCACAAGACTGCCCCACCCCGCAACACACACACCTTCCCATGCAGATCGCAAGCCCCAGGTTGTATTATCTGTGCTTCTGACCAACTAGCTATACATTGGAGTACTCACAACCCTCCCGGGTTCACTTAATTTGTTATGGCAGCTCACAGACCTCAGGGAAACACTTAAGTTTTCCTGTTTGTTATAAAGGATGTTACAAAGGATACAGATGAAGAGATATGGAGGGCAAGGCATGCAGGAAGGGGCACAGAGCTTTCAAGCCCTCCCTGGGCACACCACCTTCTAGCCACCTTCCAGGAACCTCCACTATCTGGAGGTTCAGCTACCTGGAAGATGCCAGAACCTAGTCCTTTTTGATTTTTATGAAACCTTCATGAGGGAGGCATGATTGACTAAGTCATTGGTCATTGGTGACCAACATAATCTTCGGCCCTTCTCCCCTTCCCAAGGTTTTGGGGTGGGGCTAATAGTCCCAACCCTCTAATCTTGTCTTGGTCTTTCTGGTGACGAACCCCAACCTGAAGCTACCTAGGAACCCAAAGCTATCAGTCAACTCAATAGCACACACAAATTCATTTGTTACTTTGAAGATTCCAAGGATTTTAGGAGTCGTATGCCAGGAAAACTGGAAGATAACCAAGTACTGTATATACTTCACAATATGACAGCCTCACTTTCCATGATAACAAAATAAGGATATTAGATAATCAACAAGGCTCTCTGTAGCTCTGAAATATTAACACTGTGATTTTATGGAACACATGTAAGAAATCCTCTGGCTTATTTTTTTTATTTGACTTTTCCAATAGTTAACGTCTTTTTTAAATATCAGAAATCTAACTGGTCAATACTCTTTTTAAATGAGCTTGTCTATCAGATCACCTCATTGTATACATTTATTATAGTGAAGTTGCTGCAATCTTAGCATTTCTGTGAACTGGAGAACATGATTCAGACTTGATGACAAGGTCCAAAGTAACTGGGGAACATATCTCGGTAGGGTTTAGATTGTCAATCAATGAAATCAAGGAGGTATCTAAAGGAGTTCTGATCTTGCCTAATAGAAAAAGTTCAGGAAACACAGGAGAGAAATAAGCTTAAAAAAAAAAGAAAAAATCTCTGGAGGCAGTAGGATCTGACCAGGAAAAACCACCACTAAAATGTTTGCAAGTGCCAGGGGGAAGGAGGTAACATTCCTCATATTTACAGACCTTTGAAGCGCATTTTAACTTGGGAACTTTATGGACATAAGGATAAGTCCAGGGCTGCCTGGTTACGGGTTGGGTCTCATTACTCCCTAGTTAACAATTCACATTTTAAAATGAAAGAGCCAGATTTGAATGTAATCCTGTCTTTAGGCTTGAAGAGAAGTAAAATGCTATTTTTATCTAATACATAAGTAAAAGCAAGAAAATCCCCTCCAGAGAGTGAAAGATGTTCATGACTCTATTGTAATTTCTGTCTGCAAATGTGTGAAAGAAACTTTCAGGGGAAAAATGTTCCAGAAAGTAACCTTTTAAATGTTAAACCACTGCACTTGAGAAGCAAGATAAAGAGCTTTGTACCCCAAGCTATTTCTCTGTTCCTTTTTCCTGAGCTAAACCTCCTGTGTAATAATTTCTTCGGAATGCTTTGTTCTGAAGAGATGTTTCATGTGGCTGGTGCCTCGTCTCAGTAATCAAAGGCACACTGAGGCAGATTTGGCCTTTGGAAAACAACCTGGATAATGACTGCCTGTAATTATATAAATGCTTAGATAAAAACTGATTTTCCATTTAATTTAATGGAGACAAAACTTAGCACATCCTTACCCAATGCCTCTCCTTGTAAATGGCCACTGTGTCTTCTGGGTAACTTGAGAACCTGGCAACTATAACAGGAACATAGTAAGTGCTTTATAAATAGTTAGTAGATGAATGAATGAATGAGTGAATGCTTAATAAATGTGCTTGATCTGATCCTACAACAATTTTTTTCCTTTTAGAAATTCAACCGTTTAGTCATCATTTTTTGAAGCATATTTCAAAAGTATACTAATATTGAAGGGCAATTAACAGAAAGCAACTGACACTATGTCTTCGTTAATGCTGTCCCCACTTCCCAAATAAATTTCATGGTTTATAGCTCTCCAGAGGTGAGGGAACAAAGCCACCTGGGAGAAAAGTATCTGCTGGGGTTTTTGTTTTTTGTGTTTCTAAAACTGCCTCAAATTCAGAAAAAAACGCCATAGTTTTCATGGCTATGGGGTCCACATTCTAGTCTCTGTGCAGAATCTTTCCCTAACGACTGGACTTGTTTTGGCAGCCCTCAGGGTAAGTTACCCTCCTCCCTAGCCCTCAGCAATCACAGAGGCTTAACTCAAATTCTTCTTGTAGAAATGGGATGTGCACTTGGTCTTGCCACTTGAAGAAAAAATGTTTAAACACTGCACAGTTTACCAGATCTTACTTTGATGTGTTCTCTGGGGTTAGCCAAACAAAGGGAGAAGGTCTAAGTAAACTGTTGAAGGCTTTCAGCCAATGCTGAAAGTGCAGTGCTGGAACTGCCTTTCCTCAGAGAGAGGGTAACTCTGAGGGTGCAGTTTCTAGATCAAGGCCAGGAGATGCTGACCACAATGGGGGCATGGGTAGAGGGGGATGCCTTAGGCACCACTGAGGAAGCAGAGGAAAGATCTAACCCTGGAGATCTCTTCCTCCTGATTTTTTAGTTTTTCTGGAGAGCCCCTCAGAGTATGGGAAAGTGTATAGCGGACTGGAGTTTGGGAGTGTTACCTTCCTCCCAGCGACCCTCTCCTTTTCTATCCACTTCTTGCTGATACAAAATCTCCAGGTGCAAAATTTTCTTGGTGACCTCTGTGACCAGCTGCAAGCAGCTTCCCTAGAAGGCAAATGTGACCTCAGCATTACACACAGACATTTTCAAAAAATAAAGGATATTATTTAAATTAAGGAACAATTTAAGCAAACGAAAGACAGAATAAGAAACAGACTCTGTGTGCCCACTACCAGGAGTAAACACACTTGAACATTTTGCTTATTGATATGGTCTGGCTGTGTGTCCCCACCCAAATCTCATCTTGAATTGTAATCCCAACTGTAATCCCCAGGTGTTGGAGAAGGGAACTGTAATCCCAGGTGTTGGAGGAGGTGATTGCATCATGGGGGCAGTTCTCCCATGCTGTTGTCTTGTGATAGTGAGTTCTCAACAATTATCTGATGGTTTTATTAGGGTCTGTTCCCCGTTTGCTTTGCACTTCTCTCTCCTGACACCTTGTGAAGAAGGATGGGTTTGCTTTCCCTTCTGCCATGATTGTGTAAGTTTCCTGCGGCCTCCCCAGTCATTTGCAACTGTGAGTCAATTAAACCTCTTTTCTTTATAAATTACCCAGTCTGGGGCAGTTATAGTAGTGTGAAACCGAACTAATACACTTATTTACTTTAGGCCTTTTTTTTTTCTTTTTTTTCCTTTTGTTTTTTAAGAAGTAAGAGTTTATAGAGTTAAAAAAAAAACCCTCTCTCAATGGAAGTATCTGCACAGCTATTCTTTCTATTCTTTTTTATCTTTGAATTGCTCATAATTAAAATCAAAATAATTTGTGTATCTGTAAATTGTTTTGATTTTAATTATAAGCATTTCAAAGATAAAAAAGAATGGAAAATAATACAATGACTATATACTCACCATTAAGATTACATGCATGATACTATTTTGTCTTATTTGTTTTAATCTTGTTCTAAATTTTTATTGTGGAAAATTTCAGACACATACAAGAGTAGGAAGAACAGTATAATGAGCTCCATGAACCCATCCACCCAGCTTCAACAATTGTCTACTCATGGACAATCTTGTTTTATCTGTGGGGTAATTATAGATAATATAGATTCTACATTCTCCCATATATCATTTATCTACACGTATTTCATCAGGTATCTTTTAAAGAGAAGAATGTTAAAAAAAACTGCAGTGCCATTATTGTACTTAAACATAGCGATAATTCACTAGTGATTGCTATTAGCCAGTATCCAGTCAATGTTTGAATTTCCAAAAGTTTTATTATAAAAATAATTTTTTTTTCCAGTTTTTGTGTTTGAATGAGGATTCAGATAAGGTCTACACCAAGCTTAAAGCCAACGCGCAGCCTGCAGGCCACATGGGGCCCAGGACAGCTTTGTAAACACAAATTTGTGAACTTTCTTAAAACAGTATGAGATTTTTTTTGCAAATTTTTTCTCTTAGCTCATCAGCTATTGTTAGTGTTAGTGTATTTTAGGTGTGGCCCAAGACAATACTACTTCTTCCAGTGTGACCCAGGGAAGCCAAAAGATTGGACACCCCTCATCTACACATTGACATTGATTTGACAGAGATAGTTATATCTCTTTCTTTCCAATTTTTATTCTTCTAATTGTTTGTTCTTATCTAATTGTATAGACTAGGACCTCCAGCCCAGTATTAAACAGCAGTGGAGATCATGACTATCCCTTGCCTTGCTCCTTAAGTCTCCAGTGTTATCATATTAAATAAGATGCTGGCTTTTGAGCTAAAATACACACACACACACACATATAATCACATATATAACATATTAAAAAACACATATGAATATAAAGTATACATTATATATTTCAATAAATGATGTACCATATATAACCATATATAATGATATATGTAATTATATATAATCATATGTATTTAAAAAACTAGTCATCAATCTATATTTTATAAGTGTTATCAGGTACCTTATCTGCCTCTGTGATGATTATATGACCTTTTTCTCTTTAGTTGTCTTAATATGAAGGATTATGTTATTAAATTTTCTAATAATCACTCTTGTTAAAGATGATGTGGATTCCTCTCACAACTAGAATTATAAACGGAAAAGGCTACAAATTATCTCAGAAAAAAAATCTAGATTCCTATTTGATAGGGCAAGAGAATTTATGTACCATATATATGTGTGACTAAAATAATCAACTACTGTTTAATTTTTTAAACCTCCCTGTATAACAACTATAATTAGACATGAGTTTCATATACACCTTTCAGATGCTATTGCCAAGTACATCCCCAGTTTCTAAATATGTTTCTATTCTTTAGCCAAGTAAACAGCAAAAGGTGTTAGAAGGCAAATAAATGTGCAGGGAGACAGAGCAACACATGCCCAGAGTATTTTGTGCTGCCCAAAGCCATCTGGCTTTGAAGAGATTCAAAGGAACAAACATCTGATGTTCAGACACTAAGATGAAAGAGTTAAAGGGCTTCTTCCCAAAAACCCATAACCCTAGACTAATCGTGAGAGAAACATCCTGTGAATCCTAATTAAGGGACATTCCACAAAATTCCTGACCAGGATTTCTCAAAACTATCAAGGTCATCAAAAACAAGGAAAGTCAGAGACACTGTCACAGCCAAGGGGCACCTAAGAGCAAATGACAACTAAATGTAATGTGAGATCCTAGATGGGTTACTGGAACAGAAAAAATATGTTGGGTAAAAACGGAGAAAATATGAATCCATTATGGGCTTTAGTAAATAGTAACAATGTTGATTCATTAATTGTAACAAATGCACCACACAAATGTAAGATGTTAATATTGGCGGCAACAAGATGGCAGACTTGAGCTGAGGAGCTGTCAAGTGATGAAAACTGGTGTGCCTAGAAGCAAATTTTCAAAGCATTTTCTCTTCAAAACATCCTTTTTGAAGATATTTATACCACCTGACAAGCATCTCAACACCCTATGGCTGTAGCAGCAGTAAAATAGATGATAGTAAAGCAAATTGTCTTGAAACATTTATTGCCAATGCAAAATGGAGCTTTATATTGTGTGTGTTATAAATCTATGTATTCTTCTCTACCTGAAGACTATCATTGCAAAGTAGAGCTTGCTGTGACTTCCAATGGCAGGACGTGAGCCTGCTACCACTCTTCTGTGGACATTCCCTATGAACACACAAAACCCATCCTTCAACCAGATTCTGTGCACAATAATGAAGAAATACAAGATCAAGTGCTGAAAACCAGACGGGAAGAAAAACGTGAACACTTTGAGCAAAGACCAATGAGAAAACAACTTAGCAAACGTTCTTTACTGTTACGCACTGTCAGTATCCTCATGGACAGTACTAAAGATGGTGCAAGGAACTAGATCTTCTAAAAGACAGATGACTGAGGTACTCAGGGGAATCAAAGAGAAATGTTCTTCATTTGCCATTTGAGAAAATGCAATCCAGGGTGTTCACTAACATGTTATATAGTAAAGTCAGAATAATGAAATGTCTTTTCATATTAAAAAAACAATAGGGGGTAGTAGGTGTGGAGCATGAGAGGACTGTCAGCACTATCATAATAATTTTTCTGTAAATTCAAAACAGCTGTAAGATTAAAAGTTTATTTTTAAAAGATAAGGGATCTTAAAAAATAATACAGGTACATCTTTTCTCCAGATGCCAAGATAAGTAGAATTATATTCTTGAATTCCCCATCTGCTTTTTTCAAACTACCCACTAGTGCCAGCTCAAGGAGCAGTTTGCTTTTTTCATTTAGAAGTATATTTAGAGGCCAGGCACGGTGGCTCACACCTGTAATCCTACCACTTTGGGAGGCTGACGCCGGTGGATCACCTGAGGTCAAGAGTTCAAGACCAGCGTGGCCAATCTGGTGAAACCCCGTCTCTACAAAAATACAAAAATTAGCCGGGCGTGACAGCAGGTGCCTGTAATCCCAGCTACTCAGGAGGCTGAGGCGGGAGAATCACTTGAACTCGGGAGGTGGAGGTTGTGGTGAGCCGAGATCGCACCATTGCACTCCAGCCTGGGTAACAGAGTGAGACTCAGTGTCAAAAAAAAAAAAAAAAAAAAAAAGGAAGAAGTAGTAGTATATTTAGGCTTGTTTTGGTGAAGGAAAGTGGTAGGTGGAGTGAACTGGAGAAGTGATTTGAGAAAAGCCAAGATGCAGCATCAAAGCCCCAGATGGGACATACTGCCTTCCTCTCATACGCATTCACGAGTCAACAGCTGTCTTTCCCGGTCTCTTTTCTGTCTCTCCATCTTTCCTTTTTTATTTTGAGGAGGTCAGGCCTGCAAATGAAGACAGAAACAATACTACTTGAAAACTTCTTTAGCAGCAGTCCTTGGTGCTCCAGGCTGTGGCACGCTCCTCGGTTTGTTTAGCATTAGCTCTTCAGCTCTGGTCTTTGAGTTCAGTATCTCCCAGGAGGCTTGGCTTTTCTGAGCTTTTATTGTCTTGTTATTCTGCTTACCTGACATGGAGATAAAACCCTCTCGCTCCTTTGTAAGCAGCCTGGAGTCATCGCCCAAAGATGTAACTGAATCTTCCTCAAGATGTCATTCTATAAAAAGGGACCTGGCCCAATGCTTCAGATGTATTTCAAAGACATGAAGGGCACATTTGCTGTCTTCCAGCAAGCTATTTAAGTATATAGTACTTGTTCAGAAAACTTGCCACAAAATCCATTGCAAAAGAATTATTTCAATCAAGAAGCAAAACCATCTGGATTTTTATGACGTACCAAGGTACACCAGTCCAAAGACACAAACACCACAAAGGCCTGGCTTAGATATCATGAACCGTGGCTCTTGTTGAGACAGCTGCTGGGGTCTTGGGCATAGCAGGCTGTGCATGGCTGGCTGTGCGGTCTAGTGCACTTGGTATCTTCACCTTGGCTATAGGTTGCCCTTGACAAGGTTTAGCTCCCTTTCATTTACATTCATCTTCTGCTCAGCTCCTTCCTACCGTATTTTCTTTTAATTGATTCAAAAAAAGGACTGTTCATGGTTTGTTTCTGGTCCAAGACAGTGAGTTCATGGGAACAACACAAAAGCAATTTTAAAAGGAGGAAGCTTTCTCAGGCTTT